TGTACACGGTGGCATGCTTCTACGGATGCCCTGCAGGCTGCAGCATGCGTGTATCATGTAAACTTTATTAATTATTATAGCCAAACAACTTTCATAAAAGGACCCTAAAACATCTTCACATAATGGATCCATGATGTTTTTTTTCACAAGGATCCGTGTACATCTTTTCGCAATAAATTCGTGGAAATATTTCTAAAATGCTTTTTCTTACAAAACAAATCTGAAATCCACATAAAGCTAACGTGACGTGTAAAAAAATTGAAAGGGTTCGTTATCCACCTCTAATCTATAATTTATATGTTATGAACCAATAAAGATTTTTTAAAATGAATGGTTAAAAATAGTAATATTTAATATAGGACAAAACAATTGTGATATATAAAAAAGAATAGAAGAACATAATGAGTACTAAGATTGCCGTTGGTATTGAATCGGCGAATGCACATCACAAGTCCCGTGAGAAAGCGTCTTGATGTCTTTACGATATATACACTCACAACGCACGTGTACTCATCCTTTATGAACGCAAATTCTACCTCTACGAGCATCTAGAAAATTGAACCAACGAATTCATAAAATTGACGAGGTTACTATAGGCGTCTCACCAAGGCCGTGCCCCAGGCACGTGCAAGCTATACTTGGCCATGCAGCACGAGGCACGACGGCACGACACGAAGCACGGAAAAAAAGCCCGACACGAACCCGGCACGACCCGATGAAACTCGGGCCCAGGCTGGCCCAGCCCGCTGCTCAGGCCGTGCTTGGGCTGACCCCCAAGCCCGTGGGCCAGCACGGCCCCGCATGAGAAATGGAGGGAGGCCCGACAGCGGCCCGGCCAGTCGGCCTGCTAAGAGCACCAGGCCACCAGCCGGCCCGCGCAGCGCAGCCCCCTCCCCAGTCCCCACGCGGACGCGGCCACGCCCGAAGGCCGAACCCTATCCTCGCGACCTCGCCCCAATCGCCTCCCCACGCGGCCGCCTCCTCCTCGGCTCCTCGCCTCCCCACCTCCTCTCTCCCTCCCTCGGTGAGTCGGTGGCCCTCCCTCTCCCTCCAACCACGCCGGCGACCCTCCTCGCTCCCACCATGGCGGTGCCCCTCCTCCCTCTCCCTCCAACCACGGCGGCGGTGCAGCCAGGAGCAGGCGGCGCATCCACCGAGCTCGCAGCCCCGACGAGATCCGGATCCGGTGGCTTCGCGAGATCCGGCGCGAGGAGGCAGAGGACGACGAGATCCACACGCGAGGAGGCGTGTGGCGGTCCCTAGCGGCGGATCCAGGGTGGTGGCGTCCTAGGCGGCGGATCGAGGGCGGGCGCGCTCCCCGGTGGCGGATCTAGGGTTCAAGGCTTCAAGCATGCGCAGCCGTCTTCCTCCCGCGCGTGGTGTCCCCGTGCGGCCCCACCTCCAGGGCGAGCGCGCCGACGGCGGCGGCCGCCTGCCGCGACGCCCTGCCTCCTGCTCTCCCCATCCCTTCTCTGTGGGCCTCGGGCCAGCCTGGCACGCTTGACAGGCCATGCCTTCTCGTGCCGGCCCGGCCCGAAAAACAGCCCAGCAGGCCGTGCCTGGGCCCTTGGTCAGGCACGACGCCTGGCTGGGCACGGCCCGGGAGGCCCGCGTGCCGTGCAGGCCCGACATCCTCCGGGCCGTGCCTGGCACGGGCCCGTGCCGGGCCGGGCCGGCCCAATGGCCAAGTATAGTGCAAGCCGTGCGATTCACGGGGCCTCCCATTCTTAGGGCCCCCAAAAATTACTAATTGTACCAGCAAATTGTCTAATAGACCAATTGTCTTATATTTGATGGAAATATTTCTGGTATTAATAAACAATTACTACGTAGTTGCTATATGTTGGTGCAGAACCGCTAGCTATGCATAGTGCTCGCCGCTGCCTAGCTAGGACTGTTGTACCAGCCAACAAAGTAATTTATTTTTCATTAATTTTGGTTTTGTTAAATAATTCATATGAACTAGAATTGTTGTATTAGCGTTCTCCAATGATATAAGAAAGACTTAATAATTTATCGCAATGAATCAGAATTGTTGATATTTGACCTTATCGGAACACGTGTCTAGGGTCCACGGCCGGTGGGTCCTCCATCCCACCAACGGCTCACGGGGGACGCGGATGCCGCAGGCAGAGCCATCAAGCTAGAAGACATAAGGGACGTGTTCTTCCGTGAGATCGTGCTCTCGGCACCGCCTGATGCCACCGGCTGCGAGTGTGTGGCCATGGCCATGCTTGGGTGCTCCACGGAGGTCGCATTCTGCTGGGTTGGAGTCGACAGCGCATGGACGCTGCTCGACATCAAACTGGAGTTCTCCGTGGGGTCCATCGTCCACTGCCAAGATAAGTTCTTGGTGATCGACTGCATTGGAGAAATCTCCATCTGCAGTAACAACGCCGCCGGCGCTACTCCAACCGCGACGCTGCTGTCATCGCTGTCGCCACCTGCGGGGCTCTGCCACCGTAGCTACCTGAAATCAAACGGTGAGTTGCACATTGTGGGTGCCATGGCGAGCACGTTCCACGAGACAGAGCTTCACCTACAGCAGCGTGATCTACAAGTGCAACCTCCACGACCGTACGCCAGAGTGGTCCAGGGTGAAGGACATCGGTGATCAGACATTGTTCGTGTCTAAACATTTCAATGAAAGCTTCAGTGAAACAAGTGTATCCAAGTACAAGGAGAACAAAATCTATATGTCTGAGCCATTATATGGGGATCCATACGACTTGGTCCATCGACTGGAGATCGTTGATATTGCTACCGGCGCATCCGAAGTGAAGCCCGTCCAGGAAAAGATGTAGGGTTCCGAGGCTCTAGGTTGGATTTGACCCAATCTCTAGAAACTCTAGAGTTTGTGAGCCTACGACGCCGCGTACTCCGTGACAGTGTTAAATTCATAAACTTTACTTTTTAGATTAAATGTCACTTTAACGTTGGTATTTAATTTAACAGTATTGTTATCTTATCATGCGATCCGTATGTTTTTAGTATAAATTATTAGTTATCCCGTAGCAATGCACAGACACGCTACCTGGTATATAAAAAAGAATAGAAGAACATAATGAGTACTAAGATTGCCGTCGGTATTGAATCGGAATATCCGATTGCACATCACAAGTCCCGTGAGAAAGCGTCTTGATGTCTTTACGACGTATACACTCACAACGCATGTGTACTCATCCTTTATGAACGCAAATTCTACCTCTACAAGCATCTAGAAAGATTGGACCAACGAATTCACAAAATTGACGAGGTTACTTTAGGCGTCTCACCTAAGGATGGCAACGGGGCGGTTTCGGGTCGGATATCCGCGAGTTTCGGGTCTTGCGGGTTTGGGTTCGGAGATGATTTCTTACCCACGGTGTTTGGGTTCGGGGCCCCGAAACCAATCGGGTTCAGTTTCGGGTTTGGTTGTCCACCCGTGGATATCCAATGGATATCCGAAATAAATCATTTAGAATTAAAACTCATGTTTTATAATATGCTAATAATAACTTATTTACTTATATTATTAAATTTATTCTAAGTTGACTCATGAAAATATTTATTATTTGTTGCCTCTTGTTTATACATGTGAATATGTGTATATATATCATGCATATGTTTATAAAAAGTCCTTATTTCTCTTACTATGTTGCCATACAAAGCGGGTTTCTGGTATCCATTCGGGTTTCGGGTATCCGCGGGTTCGGTTTTGATGAACGGATTATCACCTGAATTGGTATTCGGTGCGGTTTCGGGTTTTGATTTTGGGTTTGGGTTCGGGTGCACAGAGACTCCACTCGATCCAAATCCACCCCGTTCCCATCCTTAGTCTCACCAAGGCCGTGCCCCATGCACGTGCAAGCCGTGCGGTTCACGGGGCCTCCCATTCTTAGGGCCCCCAAAAATTACTAATTGTACCAGCAAATTGTCTAATAGACCAATTATCTTATATTTGATGGAAATATTTCTGGTATTAATTAGCAATTACTACGTAGTTGCTATATGTTGGTGCAGAACCGCTAGCTATGCATAGTGCTCGCCGCTGCCTAGCTAGGACTGTTGTACCAGCCAACAAAGTAATTTATTTTTCATTAATTTCGGTTTTGTTAAATAATTCATATGAACTAGAATTGTTGTATTAGCGTTCTCCAATGATATAAGAAAGACTTAATAATTTATCGCAATGAATTAGAATTGTTGATATCTGCCCTGTTCGCTTGGCTGATAAGCCATTGCGGAAAGTACCGTTGGCTAATTTGTTGTAAGAGAAAAATATTGTTCGTTGACTGAAAAAATACGGCTTATAAGCCAAGCGAACAAGACGATCATTCATGATTTTATTTCAAACAACATTAAGACTGATAATGTTCAAACAAAGATTACGCAATCAAGAGTTAATATGTACGATTCTTGATTTATCGCAATGACGTACATGTTATCGTTCCATTTTTTAGCCTACCGCTCGACGTTGGCAAAGTATGACGAGAACGTCGTAAAACCCCCTTAAAACCTGGGAAATTGGCTGTCAAGCCAAGTCGAACCCGACTCTGGCCAGTATGGATGAAAACAGTCGGGAACGGTCGGGAAAATGTCTAAACCATTCCCGCTCCTGTATTTTTTGGCTGGGAACGGGAACGGGAACGGAAAGGCCGGACGGGAAAACGAATCCGGTATTACGGGATATCGGGAACGGAATATTTTGAACGGGAACGTGTCGATTACGATCGGGAAGCGGTAACACAAAACGGAAACATCGATATATGTAACCACTTGAAACAGTGAGCTCGATGCAACAATAGCAACCATGTATAATCCATATGCAAACAATAGCATGTCAGAGTCAATTCACAAACTCTTGATGGTTTGTCTGGTCAATTATTTTGAATAGATCTTACATTCAGCAATGAACTACCGTATCATCATTTACCAAACATAAATACAGTACTAGCATATATCAGGGTCTGGGTTAGAAACATTTTGACTTCAAAACAATTATTCTGCTACGTTTTGCCTCATTCCAGATATGAATTACCATGTCTATTTACTGATTCCACATAATCATCAACTTCAACACACTGACGAATTGCAAAATCAGAACGAGAAACAGAACTTGGTGAACATAAGTATGCAACGAGCTCTGATTTCTGAAGATCTTCTCGATGAAAATGAACATACCATAAGCACCGGGTTGATGTTGGGGAGGACGCTGCCGTGCGCGATGGTGACGCCGGCCAGCAGCTTCCCGAGCTCCTCGTCGTTGCGGATGGCCAGGAGCACGTGGCGCGGGATGATGCGCGTCTTCTTGTTGTCCCTAGCCACGTTCCCGGCCAGCTCCAGCACCTCGGCGGCGAGGTACTCCAGCACGGCGGCGAGGTAGACGGGGGCGCCGGTGCCCACGCGCTGCGCGTACCGGCCCTTCTTGAGGTACCGCCCGATCCGGCCGACGGGGAACTGCAGTCCAGCCTTGACGGACCGCGACACTGACTTCTTCCTGGGGCCGCCCGCCTTGCGCCCGGTCGCCGCTTCTTCTTCTTCTTCTGCCGCTCATTGGCGTCCATGGTCGCTTTCATTCTTCTTCTTTGCGATTTGGGGCCCCAGGCGCGAGAACTTGAGTTGTGGGAATTGCGACGCCATCGCGGGAACTGAAGCGACGCCGACGCGAGTAGCGAGGCGTGAGGCGCCGCCGCCGATGTTAATTTCCTGGCTGCGACTCTTGCGAGTCGTCAACGGCCTTAAAAACGGGAAACTCCCGCGGGAGTTTTCTCGACCAAATATGGGATCCGCTAATTTAGTCGGGAAATCACTCTAACCGATTTCGATCTTGGATTCGTCGAATTTTACTGGATTTTTTCTCGAATCCGTTTTTCCCGAAAAAATAATATCCGGTCGGGAATTTCGCCGTTGGGTGTCGGTCGGTACGGGAATTTCCCGTTCCGCTTTCATCCCTACTGGCCACACCTGACCACGCACGCACGCCGGCACCGCACGCGAGTTGGTCGTTTCCGTCCGCCTCACTCGCCCCTTCCTCTGCACCGAGTTTCCACCTCGGAACCTCCTCAGATCCAAATCCAGGGAGCGGCACAGATCGGGATGGAGCTGGAGGTGGGGGCGCCATCGCCGGCGAGGTACCTGGTGGGGGCTGCGATCATGATGGCCGGCGTGGTGCTCCCGCTGGCGTACATGATCTTCCGCAGCAAGCGCTCGCCGTCCTCCGCCTCCGCCGCGGGGCCCTCCTCCTTCTCCAAGCAGACGTAGGTCTGCTCTGCCTCTCTTCCTTCCTTCCTCCATGAGGTGGAGATGCCGTCGACGCATTAGATCTGCGCGCTCGCTTTTAACTGATCCGTGATGCGCCTTTGCTGCAGGACCAAGGGGCTCATCTGAGCGAGCGGGTGGATCGATCGCCTCCCCTGATGCTTGTCATTCTGTCTGTTTCGGCGTGGCGAGATCATGCAACTGCTCCTCGAGACTGGGCACCATCACATCAAATTACTAGCTGATTAGTAGTTAGTTCCTCTTGTACCTTGTGTAGATCAGATCGATTGCTTGTTTGACTGATTTGATACAGTTATAGATGATGGGTTTACCATTTTGAGTGCACTACTTACAAGGAGCATTCAAACAAACTTCAGTTTAGCTAAACAAGCTGCTTGCCCTCTTCTGCTGGTTGGCTGGCTTATTACGACAATTGTGTAGAAATCTTCTCTATGCTAATACTCCACCCATTCCAAAATGTAAGTTGTTTAATTTTTTCTCTTAGTCTTAGTTAAACTTCTTAAACTAACACCAAGGTTATAGAACATCAAATTGGTATTGCCGAGACCACCAGGAATATGTCTTACCAGTGTATTTATTTGGTATTGTAGATGTTAATATATTTTCTATAGACTTGGTCAGGATTAGAGAATTTTGACTTAGGACAGAAAACTGTCCTGTGTTTTGGAATAGAGGGAGTACTATATTTGTGGTTTGATAAGGAGCACAATTGTTGTGCCATTCATTCATTTGCATCCTCAGCTGTCAGCACATGCAGCTGTAGATGGATGCAAACCAAAAGGTGTCCATGATCAGTACTTTTTCTTTTCTTGAAAACGCAGGAGAGCTGTGTTTCTTGTATTATAGAGATGAAAAATAGGGGGGGTTGCAACAGGATCCTCACTCATACGGGGACCAGATATGAGTGAGGCAATTACACAGACTCATGGTTCAAACACATAGTGAACAAACATGACTCGACCTTACCTAAAAAAGACCTAGTCTGCAAGCGCCTGCCCTAGCCCTTGTAGATTCTTCGCCCCAGCCATGCACCAGAGGCTGTGCTCATTCTTCAGCTCACTCCAAATCATGCTAATCGAAGGAGAAGCCCCCTCAAAAACACATGCATTCCTATGTTTCCAAATAATCCAGGCCCCTAGAATAATTAAAGAGTTCACTCCTTTTCTGTGCTCCTTGCTAACTCTGCTCATCGTCTTGCGCCACCAGTCAGCAAAACTCAGTTCGTTTTGTCGGGGGACTGAATCTGCTAGGTTCAGTGGAGTGAATAATCTGAACCATACTTGTCTTGCCACCACACATGTTGTTAAAAGATGTTGTATCGTCTCATCTTCTTGATCGCATAGAGGGCATTTATCCGGATGAGAGAGGCCCCTCTTAGCGAGTCTATCTGCCGTTCAACATCTATTTCGGATTGCCAACCACAAAAACATTTTGCATTTGGCCGGGGCCCAAGTCTTCCATAGCCGACGCCAAGGCTCAAAGGTCACGACACCACAGAAAAAAAACCTTTATAGGCAGATTTGGAAGAGTAGCATCCACTTGCATCTAGCCTCCACGTGTGACGATCCTCTTGGTCAGTCAAAACAATTCCCATGAGGCAGTCCCATAGCCGTAGGAATTCTCTAATACCAGCCCAGGATAGGCCTCCTTGAATGTCCCTTGGCCATTCCACGTTGGTGAGAGCTTCAGCCAGAGTCCGGTGAAGTACTTTGAAGGTGAAGTTCTTGCATTGGCAGATCTAGCAGCATTGGAATCGCATTCGGGCACTGATCCTGCCCTTCTGTGTAGTTCTGATTCCTATGCGATCTTTTCTCTATGGCTTCCCTCTTCAGAGTTCGATTTGCTCTCCCTAGTCCCCTTCTCTATTCTATTCTAATGAAGGCCTTTCATGTCATTCACTTCCAGGAGCTGACACATACATTGTTGCTAACTAGTTTGTTATCTGATAATCCACGTGAACGGATGTGCCCTTTGTGTTTGTGTTCTTACAAGTTGGCTCTTAACAATAGAATTGTTTGTATTCCTGCACATAAGGTAGGCAGAGTGAGAAAAGTCAGCTTGGTTGATATTATTGTACTTCCGTAGTTCCGTTATTGGCTAACCTATATGATAACCATGATGCATTGCATTTGCACTTCAGATGGATTATTGTTTCCGTGGCCACATGAGGGGCTTGCCTTGTGGCTTGTGATCAAGATGGTAATTCTCTTGGAGGCAACTGGATATTCAGGGCCCACCCTTCCTCAGGTAGGTATAAATGCAAAACAGTGGTTGCAAGTAATATCATCATAATAACTAGTTAACTACTGTTATGGCACTAGTTTTGGTTGTGTGATACAAATATTTTGGATGGCACTTTAACATATTTGTCCCTTGATGTTGCACAAGAAGCTTATATGGGCATATGTATGCCATAAACTTGTGAGAAAAGCGGCACCTATTTCATTTAAAGAATTTTGACTAAGGAATAGTGATACATCTAGTTGTCTCTTTACACAATGTGTGAAATTAAGGTGTCTGCATCAAAGAAACTTTCTTCATGACAGGCAACCTTGGTCGCTTCCTTCAACTTGTGGCACCCTTTGAATCTTGTTTTCTCATGGTGCGGCCTCTGTCATTTAAATCCTCTGACATTTGAATGACAGAGAAAACATGAAAGTTAGATTCGTAGGGTGTGTTCGCTGCAGAAGCTCTCGCTATAGTACCCCGTAGTTCACGAGCTGCAGCAGCCACAGCTGCCAAGAATCGTTACAGTATTTCAGAACCCCAGAACCTTTTAGAAATGTCGGAAGGACAGTTACAAGACATTGTTTGGCGAAGGTTTCATGCAATGAGAAACAAATTAATATCAGGCCTGTTGAGATATGCATATCTGTGAGCTTTATGTATTCGTGTATTCGTAGGCTCCGCCAGACTGCGAGGCCAAATAGGCAGCCAGAGTCAGGCAGTTGGGCATGTTTATCAGTTTAGATTACGCTTGACTAAAAATACATTTTTTTACTTCCGTTTTACTTTTAATATTTGCTTTGAGATTAAACTTTTTTTCTGAAAAGTGGAATTATTGAATCAAACCCCGATTGACTGATCTGGTTCAGATTCCAGAACAATGTCATGACATACTCGAGTGCTAGCATGACGTGTCCTTGACTCTTGAGACCACAACATCACTGGAAGAGGCAGGGCACCTCCTAGTCACATAATACAGATGGAGAGACAACAAAATTTCTACTCTAGTATGATGATCCTCAGTATACCAATTGCAATTGCATTCCAATGCATTTCCTACCCCTGTAATGCAGCTAGGGCACATTTTGTTTGGTCACGCAGATAGAGCACCTGAGATTAAATGCTGCTTTTATATGTTCCTATTTTTTCTGTGTTCTAGTTAAAGCAACTACTAGCTTCTGCAGTTCCCATCATCAAACGTTTATCCCATTGTTGCGCCTGCAGGAAGTCTTGTGCCATAGACATTCTCTATTGCCACTTAGAGATGCTGGCCGTGCTACCTGTGTATCTCATTCATTTCTGAATTACTGGAGATATGGTCCCAGTCCCAGCCTCTACTTCAGTGTTGACACTCTGGGCTCGAAAGAAAATCCGTATGGAGATAATAAAGTATATAGAGATTGTACTCGAGTAGTTGATGTGACTAAATGAAACAGAGTTGGACGTGCAATGATACTACAGCAGTAAGGCCTTGTATAATATAACTGATCTGGAACCTTTATGCAGATGACCAGCACACCATCCACGTTTGGATTGACCAACATACCGGAACCTAAATCCGAACATGGATTATATGTTTGGTTTGCCGATCTGTTACCAACTCATCTTTAGTAATCTTCCCTGCTCGTAGTTTGAAGGACGGGTCGATTCTTCAAAAATTGCTGGACGACCTGGATTATCTGTTTGGTTTGCAATTCTCAAAAAAAAAAAAGTTTGGTTTGCATCATGAGTTGAACCTATCTGTTGGCAACTCATCCTTAGTAATCTTCCCTGCTAGCGTAATTTGAAGGACTCGTCGATTCTTCAAAAATTGCTGGACTGGCGAGCAAACTGATTCTGAATCAAGCAGTGCCGCAATCCAACCATACTGTTAGCAAAATTACGCCAGCTTAAGTAGCTGAGCATTCGTGTTCCAGTAGAGACTCGGGGCACAGCCTATTATGATTACTTTCTCCTTGGTTCATTCTTTGTGCTTCTCCTTGCTTGGAAATTCTCATCCTGCGTATAGGAGTACATTTGAGTGTCTTTTCATCTTGCAAACACGTCCAGCGCCTGAGGCCTGACGGATGAACTCAAGTGTTTTTCATTTGCCATGTTCAGGTACCGGACCTTCGTGTGCGTGATGGCTTGTTTTCAGGAGATCCCTCGCATCTGCGTCAGATGCCAGAACACCGCCATGAGAAGCTCAAAGAGTCTTCTGGGGCTAGCATGCTATGTCCTGGGCACATCGTTGGAATGCCTTAGAACTGGGCACCTCCTATTGTTACCATTGTCCACTGGTTTCATACTTCCATCCATATCAGATTAACAGCGATCGTCCCAACCGACGCATCGTGTCTATTACTAGAACGTCCTCCCACATCGAGGCAAAGGTTTCCTCCACGGTTAGATCAGATGTTCAGGGTCCACCGAGAGTCTTGGCAATGAAACTTTAGATGTCTGTGCTCTGTTTTCTTCAACTTTTTGTTTCCACATAACTTGTACTTCCTTGGTTCTAAATTATAAAACGCTTTGGCTTTTCTAGGTGAATTGCTTTGACTATATATTTAAACATCGTGTATATCTAAGTGTATAGTCAAATCTATGTATCCAGAAAAACCAAAATATCTTATAATT